ACTCTCGTGACCCTTGCGAGACTAACTCTCATGACCCTCGTGAGGGTAACCCTTTTGAGGGTAACTAACCCCCGTAACCCTCGTGAGGGTTACGAGGGTTACTCTCACGAGGGGTACGAGGGTAACCCTCGTGCTCCTCGTGCTCCTCGTGACGGGAAACCCTCGTGAGAGTGACCCTCGGAACCCTCACAAGGGTTACGAGGGTTACGCGCGGTTCGGGCGCCTAGAGCTGCGCTCTAAAAGAAGCGCCATCTAGTGCACTCATGATCGATTATCAAGTTTCCACCATATTGGGGGGGGGGGGGGGGGTGATTCCATCCCAATAGTTTCGGCCGAAAGACAATGATCTCTGCAAAGTAGAAGTCGTAGACCCAAGAGATATGATCACGTGCTGCCAGTCCATTCCGAACCCTTCACGCCGCGTCTTCGAAAAAGTCCGCTTACTTACTTGGATGGCTCAGTTTACCACTTGAGTGACGAGTCTTGCGACCTTGTTGAATATTCCTTGTCCGGAATTTCGCGGCTGTATTTATTTTATTCGATGAACGAAATTAAAATCAGCCCATTGAGTATATAAATACCTTGTCATAATGACATAAAAAAAAACAAGTTAAAGGCCAACGCGCCTCGCCCACAGCCAGAAAACGTAAAAAAAAAAAAAAAAAGGCGGTTTCAAATGGCATGATGATGATAGCTGGCAGGAATTTTACATATGGCCTGTTGTTCTTTCAGTTCCTTTTTGTTGTGTTTGGTATTCCATGCGCATTGCATTTGTTGCATGCAATTCTGCGCGTTATTGTCTTAATTCGTTTCTCTATATTGCTGTTTACTCGTTCCGGTTGTTGACACGCCGTGCGGATGGTTCTGGAGACGCCTGCCAGTGTTAAAAGCCAGTAATATGGTGGCTGGAGCGCGTCTTCGACTGGTGTGTTTAACGTTCTTTGCTGCCCATACATCAAAGGTGGTCAGAAGTGGCAACAAATGACGTCACAGAAGCCGGGGTGACATGCCGTTGCGTGCCGCGATCCTGGCAGTTGGTCATGGAAAAGCTAACGAGGAACTGCGGGTGTCGCTGTCGTCACTGCGTCCCCATAGTACATCTGGCTGCCGCAGCTTCCGTCGTCTGCCACACTGGCGAGCGAACTGCAGCAGGACAGGCATCTGCCCCATACACCACAGCTGCTGGGACGCCGCCAGGATCGCGACTGGCTACAGCATGACACTTCTGTGACGTCAACAAGCAAAAATCGAGGGACCACTTTTTTGGACGCAATAAACACACCAGTCCGAGACGCGTTCCAGGCACCATGCCAGTATTGGCGACTCCAGCGAAATAGACGCCGCGTAGCGGCAACGCCGAGAATCTGAGGAGAAGGGGTCGTTTTGACTGTGTCGTCTGCTATCGCTGCTTGGTTCTCGTAGGCAGCATTGAAACAAACATTGTTTCCAGTAATTAGTTTTATGCTTCCGCCGTGTCATTGACTAGAAGAAGCTTTTTGTACCGTCGAAAATTCACTTTGCTATCATGTGTTACAGCGATTGTACGCTGCTGTGCAAGAAATATATGGTGGTCCGCGTGCTGAAGGACAAAAACGACCTTCTTTCGTCCGCCATTTTGCCTGATCAGCGCGCCCTATAGCTCGCTGGAGTCACGGATACTTTTTTAAAGACCCCAGTAAGCCACATTGGCGGTGACCATTTTTTGGGGCCCGAAGCGTCTGATTGGATCCGAGCTCTCGCCGAACGCCGACGGAACCCTTTCGTGTCAACTCGGATCATTGGCGCAGCAGCTAGTAGATGGCGCGCGTGTTTTCGAAAAGACCCGCAGCTGCCTCCAGTGGTTTCTTGCCTCTGCACCACCAAGTCTCGCCCAGCAGCAGTGGCGGCGGCTTCAACAGACCGAGCGAAAACCAATCCTCACGACTTGCGCTGTTTGTGGCCAAGGATTCCAGCCGCCGCCTCTTAAGGATCGCTGACATCATCGTCGCGTCACGGTTTGTGATCGGCGATCGGGATTCGGTTGTCTGGCCAGGCGACACGTCGAGGGACTGTCATCAACGACTGCAGCGCATGGTTCATGAAAGAGAGACTCAATGAAACGAGCCCTCGCTTGCACACACGAGGTGTGGGCAGTGCACTTGCGCAGTAGCTAGATTCGAGCAAGACGAAGCGTCTGCGCATGCGCAGTGACGCGGTGCTCATACGGCGCGCGAAATAGTTCTTACAAGATATGGTCGTCGGAGGCACATGCGATTCTTTTGGCGTTTGAAACGTGTTCTTCCTGATAAGGTAACATATATCTAATCTAAAATACACCTACATATATCTCGATTCTCAGCACAAAGAGAGAAATTAGTAGTAATCCGCGAGAAGCCGTACTTTTTTTTTTTTTTTGTCCTACGGTTTTTAAAGTGAAAACGAGTCTAGAGGACACACTGAGATCGCGCGATGACGAGGCAGCCAAGCGCGCGTCGCCGTTGGTTCAGGGCGGGGGTAAACAAACGCGCGTGGGGGAATTTGGCGCGAAAACGAACGCACGAGGTGTGCAAAGAGCAGACAATTTGCGCGCCCTGGTTCGTTGTCTCCCGTTCTGCAGAAAAGCGAATTCAGAAACCTTTCTTTTTAGAGCGGCTACCTCGAAATGGTTTCCTTCATTTTAAACGACCAAGTTATACTATGTCTCGCAGGTTAATTCGAATCTTAATTCTTAGTTCACTAGAACATCGCGCTAAATTCTACCACATAAAAAAATAATGATAAAAAACTTGCAGCCTTTTTTTTTTGTGAACAAAAAAAAAAAAAAAAAACCATCGAAGCTGTACTACGGTGGGAATGAAGCAATGGCCGCCGGCCGCAAGTCGGCAAGCGAGAGCGGAAAGGCTGGAAAGGTGGCGTCATCTATGAGCGATGGCGGCAACCAGACAACCGGTAAGCCCCATATAAAAATGATTTTTGACTTTTTATTAAAAAAGTGAAAGACGTTTACAATCCCCCTTAACGCCGCATTAGAGCGCAGCTCTTGAGGAAGAGGAGGGGAAGGTTCGGAGAGGAGGCTACGCCCCTCCTCTCCTGCTCGCCTTCCATTTATGGGAAACTTTTTCCGCTAACTTTAGCCGGGAAATTTTCCCGCTAAATTTAGAAGGGAATTTTTACGCTAAATTTAGCGGGGAAACATTTCCCGCTAAACTTAGCGGGGAATATTTTTCCACTAAATTTAGCGGGGAATTTTTTTCTGCTAAATTTAACGGCGAAATTTTTACGCTAAATTTAACGGGAAAATTTTCCAATAAACTTAGCGGGGAAATTGTTTCCCCTGGATTTAGCGGGGAAATTTACCCATAATGCACCGCGCGGTTACGCCGACGGCGACGGCACCGGCGACGGCGACGGCGACGCTGTTCAAGCCGGAAGCGGGCGCCTAAGAGCGGCGCTCTAAAAGTCTAGAGTTCTTGTTGACTCTGATTACTTTCTTTTGACTTGGGCTTCCTGTTGCCATGGTCAACAGAAAATTTGTTGATTTTGTGTTGAAACTTTTTTTGTGATTTTCTTCAGCCTGAGTGAAAAGAAAAGCTGTTGACTTTTTATTCACTTCACGTTGATATTTTTGTGCTGACTTCGTGTTGACAGTGTCATCAGAATGACCAGAGACGTTCTGTTTACTTCGTGTTGAAAATGTTCAGCTTACTTTCTGTAGCGAGGGTCAATAGAAAAGCTGCAGACTTTCTGTTGACTTTTTATTGAACATAGTACACCTCGACTAGATGTTAAAAGTCACCAAGTTTCTCAATAGTCTCTGACGAGGTGAGAACGGCGGAGAGCATGCTTCAGTTGTCTCGCCTCCAGCGCGAGCCTACTTCTCTTGACAACGCTTCGGCGTTCGTGCACCTCGAGCGCGCGCGTGCAGTCAAAGCACGACGGAAGGCATGGGGCGCGTGCTGGATGCCAGGTGACCAAAAGACAGGCCCTACCGTTTTCACTTTGTGAATATAGTGATTTCAATGACCATATTAAACTACTCAACTAGTAATGAAAAGCAAAATAGCTTTTTTAAGTGGAGAAACTGCCTTAACTGGCTTCGTCCTGAGTGGTAATATGCAGAGAAGCGATAACATTTCTTCTAGAAACCGTTTTTTGCGGATGTTGTTTTAGCGACTACACCAGATTATTATTAGTTGTACCAACGCTTTTTTGTAAGAGATACCGTCCACGAAATTCGAAACACTGTTTTCCCGTTGACAGACTCCTGAGAAGGAGATCGGATACTTGAACCTTAATAAGGGCTGAGGTGGTCACCGGCCAAATGATTACCTTCAATATGTAGGTTACATAAGGCTCTGGAGCAGTCAGGTGTTCAGTGCATCATGATGTTAATGTTTGTGTTCGTTCCTAATGTATGGCTGTGGGATGTATGTAGTGCTTTCCAATACCACGAAAACACCACTGCCTAGCAAAATTTAAAAAAAAGTGGCATGTGCTTTTTTAGGTTTTTTGCTGCAGCCAATTTGGAGCAGAGTGTAAAGCCGTATTAAGCTTCCAAAACTTTGTTGAGTGAATGTCTAAGCTGTACAATTTTTTTTATTTTTAAAAGGCTATAGTTTTTCGATTGAATAGCTGTAGATTTTCAATTGAAAAGCTACCAAAAAGCATCTTAGATGCAACAAAGAGTCAGTTGACTTTTTTTTATTAAAAAGGGGGCCAATGTTTAAATGAAAGTCAACAGAAAAGCTAGAGGAGGTCAAATGAAAAGCTATTCACATTTTATATCCTCTGATAACTTTTTATCAGTTTTCAACAGAAAAGCACCATTTTTTTTGTTGTTGTAAGGAGCCGGTTGTTTGGTTGCCGCCGTCGCTCATAGATGGCGATGGCTGCCAGAGATTCGTGTCATCATTTGTTTGCTGACGGACACGATACTGGGGAAACTAGCCCGAATATAAGTAACGCTTCATGCATTGCTTGTCATTGCTGTTTTGCATAAAGCGTGAATGATGAGAAATCTCCAGTTTGTTGATGCATTTATTACGTTCGTAAAGAATGGTACTGTCACGATAAAATAAGGCGGAACAAAAGCTACTTGTCTTCTCAATTAATCTCGTAAACGTGAAGTAGCCGTGTCAGTACTTCTCAAACTTCGCATAAAGCCCTCGCTTTACGTGACCCAAGACGAGCAAATCTTCCATGTCGTCCTCAGTCAGGTCAGCCTGTAATAAAGCGTAGAGCAAATTTAGCATAAATGCACTCCAATATAAAACATTGAATACGCGTTTAGATCCCAAAGGGGTGTCTTTTTAAGTCTCTCTGTCACACATTGCCTGCACACCGTACAGAAAGGCACACCTGCAGACACTTTCCGAGGCCGGTTTCGTAGCTGGGCATGACTATCCACCCACGTTGCTCGTACAAAAACTGTACGCGAAAATGTTCGAAGCATACGTACGGTGTGAGGCAAACACACCCCGAACGTCGTTGAGGCGTGCTGGCAGATAATGTGGCAATCATGCGAAAACACCGTGCATCTTGTACCACGTGTGATCAATGTGACTCGAGGGCTAGCGATAATACATACTGTTTTCTGTGTACAATCACGGCCGAACTGGAAGCGCGCGCTTCCTTTCTCTTCTTACGGTCTTTGCAATTGGGGCAATCGCCACCTCCCGTCGCAATTCGCGGGGGGCGCTGTCACCTCACCCCTGGGCTACCCTTTGCCGTTTGCACAGAGCGCGTGTCTGACAGTGTATCTCAACGCTGTCGCAACTTGCGGCCGAGATTTTTATAGCCTTTGACACCTGATCCTTACGTTTAGCCCCTCAGTCACTCTCTTATGCGCTTCTGATGAGCCCAAAACGGTGAATATTTGACGCACATCTCCAAGATAATCGGGAATAAAAAGTAGTAAGTAGAGACAGCGAATGCAATTGCGGCAAAACTACACTCGTCTTTACCTCCAGGACTTCCGTTGCAACTCAAGAATAGGAGGAGGCGGACCCCTTCTATGTGGAGGAACTTTAAATGATAAATAATTCGTGCACTCTCGTGAAATGTAAGCAGGCACAATCTATATATTGCCGTGGTCTGCATTATCCTTTCATAGGCCGCACATGAAGTCGGTCAGCTACTCTAGACGAGGATGTAGTAGTCTGTACAATTTTCGCACAGTGCATATTACAGCCTAAAGTGCTTCCTCGAGGGCTTGTGCACATATCCAGCTGATTTTTCGTTTCTGTCCCTGACCGTTTTTGCATGGTTAATCAGAAGTATTTTGAGGAACAATTGCCAAAACAACAACCTACGAAGCTCGAACACCAGCGCAAAGCAGCTCGAAGGGACTCTCCGAGGGGGCTGAAGTGGGGTGAGGTGGTTGCGCCCCTGGCGGCAAGCAAGTGAACTACATACGGAGAAAAATTGTCATTGACACCCGAGCGATTGCAAAGGCCGTAAGAAGACAAAGAGAGCGCGCGCTTCCAGTCCGGCCGTGGTACAATATACGAGCAGGCTGCAGTGTTATAGTGATAACATACGAGGCCATAGCAAACCTCATGATCGGCCCGGGTGGGAAGGAGCCTGTACTTGGCGACCACCTTGGCCGCCAGGAGCATGATGGCTTTCTTTGAGAATGCCATAGCGAAACAGTTTCGAGGTCCGGCGCCGAAAGGCTGGTACGCACCAGCATCCCCAGGCTCGAACGTTTCCGGACGAAATCTAGAGAGAGAAAACAAAACATTATATACATATTTGACAGGTGGAAACGTTTTGCATTAAACCGTAGCCACACAGCGCATACGCCGCACACACACAAAAACAAAAAAAAACACACACAAAAAAATTTCGCGCTGTTTGCCGTAGACATGATGACAGAATTACAGGCGGACACCTCTCGGGCATGTTCGTTTCGTGCAATCGTGTCATGTGGACATATCTGCAGATCGTTTTTTATGACCGATGTCAGGAGGCCGTCATACAAGGAAGAAACGTGCCGCAGACAGTTTCTGCAGACTGCCTTTTGTACGATGTATTGGCAGTGCAAGCGCGCAGCTTAAAGGCCGACGACCAAACACGAGATTCTGCAAGGCAGAAGATCCTCCTGACCCTGGGAGAGAAAGAAACAGGCAACGCTGGACATGGTAGAAAGGGGGAGAGGAGGAAGCGGGGAAAAGTGGAAAGCGCGAACTGGTCGTTGGTCTTTAACCAATGACGAATGTTTTCTCGTTCAGCCCCATCACCTTTCGGGATCGAAGCTGCCTGGGTCTTGCCATAGTTCCGGGTCGTGGTGAAGGAGGTAGGTCGGAATAACGATGCTCACGCCCTCGGGGATTTTGACGCAGCCAGCATCGAGTTCCTTTTCTACGAGACGAGTCACAAACCTGAAAATGCAAAGGTGCCGGGAGGAAGACACACCGTGTTTTTCGCTCAGCAAAAAACAAACTGCGCACTAGGCCAGTTCACAGGCTTGCGTTTGGCTACGACCGACTGAGACGAGACCGGCCTTTAAGGCCCGTTCACACTCTTGCGACTGCTTGCGACCTCTTAAACCTGGGTTCCTTAAAACTTCTTAAACCAGAGAACACACTGGCGCCATCTATTGGGAAGCAGTGTTAACTCGGCGGTCCGGCATATTTTTTTTTATTTCTCGCGCAATATCCTTTCTTTTTTGGCTCGAAAAACTTTTGTCAATGTTATAAACGAGCCTTTCTATGGGTATTACGCACATTTGACCTCGGAAATCCCGCAAAACCTTCGCTTTTGTGAAATGCAGTTCTAGGGTCACCGCATAGATGGCGCCACAATGTCAGTGTGTTCCCTCATTCTAGAAACATTTAAGAAGTTGTAAGAGATCTCGTCTCTCTCAGTCGTACTCGGTCGCAAGAGTGTGAACGGGCCTTTAAGCGCGTCGGCTTACGACAGCTGCCTTGCTGCGCAGCCGGTCCTATTGGCAGTCCTACGAGGCTTGAAAAGCATCTTATGTCACTTCCGGCAACTCTCTCCGCCGAGCCTCCGCGCAGATTTTCGGCTTCGGTTTAGAGCAGTTGCATTTTTTTCTACTTTATTAAAAATATACGTAACTCTGTAGAAAAATATTGATTGGATAGTTTTCTGACTCCAAACTAAATCGCCCGGCAAAAAAAAAAAAAGAGAAGAAAATGCACGACAATTTTTGGTACTGGTAAAAGCCGAGCGAGTTGCACACGAATGCTTAAAATCGAAAGAATAAAACAGGGCGGACAAGCACAGGACAACCACGTTCTTTCATTTAGCAACGACATTTTTTTGGGGGCTAGAAATATTGCGCCTGAACCTCATCCCCCAGTATTTCCCTCCCCCCTATTACCCTATCTTAGTTGGGATCTCGTTCAGGACGCAATTTTTCCTGCCCAAAATGAACGTCCTTGCTGAAAGAACGTGGTTGTCCTGTGCTTGTCCTCTGCGTTTTATTATTTCGATTTTAAGTAAGGGTAATTAAAAACAACAACAACAACAAAAGTGATTGCGTTCGTGTTTCCAGACTTTACCGCTAGGGAAATTCGGCGCTACCTGACAGGCCCTTTACACGCGCCCTCTTCCCTGATCTTTCCCTTTACAGCGGCAACGTTATTTCGCGATTTGACGGGCTTTCTAGAATAGAGGACGCTATATGTTCTTACGCTTGTGACTGATTCCGACGCAACCTATTCTTAATCCCCTTGCGACTGCTGCGACAGGCGGTGCAGTAGCAGCAATGGCGGTCGTAAGCGTCTTAAAAAGGCACTGACAGGCCAAAATATTTTTTTTATTATTATCCGAAATGATCGAAAACGATTCCTGAACGTTATCTTCTAAATTTGAAGCTAAAAAAAAGAGTATTTGTGAAGTAAAAAAAAAAATTCAAAAGCCGATTTGAAGTTCCCGCGCGATCGTTGCCAGTGCAGTGACGTCAAAGATGAGTCGTCCTGCAACTCAAGTTTCTCTCCCGCCTCCGAACCGTCCCAACCGGAAGTGCATGTATTCCTGCCGGCCTGCCGTGCCTGCCACCTATCGCTGTGAGCCGAGTACGTTTCACTTCCAAGTTTGAACTTCCTTGGGGCCCTTTCAGGGATCTCAAATTCTTTGAAACGGTGTGAGGTCGAAGAGGACGCGCAGTGGACTTTTGTGAGCGACGTGAGGATCCATGTCGCGCTGGTGCTGCGTGAAACGCTGCCTCCCGGCGGGGTCCCAATCGAAAGTACGCTGCGCAGGTTCCTGAAGGACGGCAGCAATTCCTGAAGGATTACTGGAGAGCTTTGGATTGAAGTCCTTTATTTGTTCTTGGCACTTTGTCGACGAGGGTTATGAGGTCAGCCAAAGCGTCTTTAGGGCATGGGGGGTTGAGTTTGAGGCGTGCTGTCGTTCCAGCGAACTTCCCGCAGCAGGTTACATCACACAAAGCGAAGCGTCCCAAGGCTAGACGTCTAGAGGTAAGTCTACCAAACATAGAGAACTTCGTCCGATTCTCCCACTTCCCGACCACCGTAACCGTTACGGGTGCCGGGTGCCGCCATGTTTTCCAATGAAGGATGAAAAGCCAGAAGGCGACATCACTTCCAGACTTCGATTTTTGATATTTCAAAAGAAGGGGCGTAGTGCGTTCGCAATTGCGTTAAAAAAAACGTGTTTTACGAATGTCGTTATTAAATACTATAGAAATGTCGCTTACAAAGCTTCTAAATTTGATAATCAATTACGTCGCAAATAAAAAAGAAGCGAGGAGGTGAGAAGAAAAAGAGAAAGGCGCCTAAAGCAAAAACAAAGAAAAAAAAAAACGCGTGGATTTTTTTTTTGTGGGATTTTTTTTTGTTTATGAGTGTTGTACTCATAAACAAAAAGGAAAAAAATACCACAACGTGTTGGGCTGTTGGTGTTTTTTTAAAAGCCGGTTGCGTCGTAGCCGGTCACAAATGTGAGCACCAGGTTTTAAAACCTCATAGAACTTTGTACAGCGATGGAATACACTGGCGCCATCTACCGGGTAGCTACTTGACATTTCCGTAGATTTCCTTTTTTTTTAGAGCGCAGCTCTTAGGCGCCTGTTTCCGGCTTGAGCGGCGTCGGCGTCGCCGTCGGCGTCGGCGTAACCAAGGTCACGTGGCCCCCAAGGTCACCCCAAGGTCATGTGACCCCCAAGGTGACCCCTCAAGGTGACCCCAAGGTCACGTGCCCCAAGACCACGCGACCCCCCGAGGTCACGTGACCTCTCCCAAGGTCACCCCTAGGTCACTTGACCCCCAGGTCATGTGGCCCCCCCAAGGTCACCCCAAGGTCACGTGACCCTCCAGGTCATCTCAAGGTCACGTGACCCTCCAGGTCATCTCAAGGTCACGGGACCCCCAAGGTGACCCCCACGTGACCCCTCGAGGTCACGTGGCTTCCCCCCCAAGGTCACGTGACCCCCCCCCCGAGGTCAGGTGACCCCCGGAGCATATTAAAGAATGAGGGGAGGAAGAGGAGAATGAGGAGGAGGAGGAGGGCAAGGAGGGGTCTACCCTCCCCTCAGTACCCCCCCCCCTCCTCCTCCTCAAGAGCTGCGCTCCAATTCGGCGTTACAGGGAGTTGTAATCGGCTTTCACTTTTTTCTCGGGCATCATTCTTTCTTGAATTGATAAAAAGCTTTTGACAATGCATTTTTTTTTGTAGATAGTACGTACTACGTACATTCGATTTTGCAAATACAGCAAAAGCTTCGCTCGAATAAAATGCAGTTCCAGGATCACCTCATAGATGGCATCAGCGTGCCAGTACCAGGCTAGGTGGCGTAAGCTACCGCCCGATCCAAAAGGCTCAGCCGGATTCATCCATCCATCCATCGTCCTCTTGTCGTGAGAGAACGCAAGGACTCGGTCCCAAGCAAACGCAAGTGTGTGAACTTAAGCCTCAAACTGGGCTATACCGCCGATACCACTGATGCTGAGATCAGTTGAGAACGGCAGTATATTGTTCAAATAAATAAATAGTTATAAAAAATGTTTTGTATACATTACCCTGATGGAGACGATTGTGTCCGCATAGATTCGAGAAACACTTGTTCCAAATATTGCATCTTTGGCACGGCATCGTAGTTGATGGCACCCTGACCGATTGGAAGGGTTTCAAGATAAAGCAGAAAACAAATGAGGGACAAAAATGGGTGCCGGACGGCGGCATCCACAGCATCCGGAGCTGGCGTCCCTACGTCACTTCCTCGAGGCGCCGGGTCGCTTGGATTACATCATGGTCGGTTCAGGGCGTGGAGTTATTATAATGTACGCTAGAGGTTCAACTGGCACTAGTGCCTATGCTACTTCCGGAATGTAAATTGAAGCAGACAACAACCAGTCTACTTTTGCGATGCTCCTGTGCATTCGCATGGGGAAACGTGGGCGCATTTTGTCTCTTCGCCGGAAAAAAAAAATAAACAAAAAAACAATGAACACTTTTGTTATTTGAGTTGTACCAGTAGTACATACTGTGCCTTTATTAAAATCGTGAAAGTGTAATTGCTTTTGTTAGCGGATATTTCTTTATTAGTGAACAATGTTTAACTTCGCTATACTTCAGGCCCAAACCTCTGTTCTACAGCAGATGCCTAAAAACAATTGACGATTCTCAGTAAATTAACCATCGAAAAATATAAAGAGTATGTTCAAAGTCGCCAGCGTTCCGGTGACGCTTATGTATTGCCAGGGATGGGCAGTATTTCAAATACAAGTATTTGAAATACGTATTTCAAATACTTTGTGTATTTTACATTTGTATTTAATTACAAATTAGGTAATGTATTTGACGTGTGTATTTAAATACTAAAACGTGGGTATTTCAAATACAATTGTAATTAAATACAATTTTGTGGGCGAAAATACATCCCTCAAATTTATTGTCACTGTCCAGAGCAGGAAGAAAACCATGTCCTGCACCGAATGCAGTGTCTCTCAATCAAGCACAAGCGTTTGATGACTTTGCGATTACGGTGCTAGTCCAGGGCAAGAATAGTGACGGAATCGATGTTCACAGGCAGACTGGCTAAATAAGTGCCTGTGACAACTCGTGAGCTTTCCAGCCTGATCTCCCTTCATATTTTTGCCTGGAACATTCTAAATGCGCGGGTCGTCCACATTTTTGTAACTGGTGCGAGTTGCGACAATAAAAAATTCTCTAGCTAGTGCTGCGCGTCTCGGTCGTCTCGGTTCTTTGTTGCTCTATACGAAATGAAATCGACAAAAAAAGCTGCTTTAAGCTCTGCACTTTTTTCACCTATTACGTCCAAGCTGATTACATTTTTTTTTGTGATTATATTTCTATTACGTTACTAGAGCCTCGTACACTAACTCCCGAGTGTGCAATGCAAAATTATAATGAGATACCCAGAAACCCGTTGCAGGTGCCTTGAAGTCGCTCACGCAGATTTTGAGGAATGTATTTGGAAAAGTATTTGGAGGAGATCAAATACTCTTGGTTGTATTTGTATCTTGTACTTAAATGCTTTTTTGGAAATGTAATTAGATTTGTCATTAAAT